AATACACTTCATATTACGGTTTATACTAAAGGTTCAACATGAAAAAGTTAGCGCCAATCTTTCGTTGCCCTGGTTTCCACTGAATATGCTGAAGGGGAACGTAACTAGCAAATTAATCTGAATATAAAGCGGATAATAAGAGAGGCAGTCTGGTGAAATTTTTAACGAACTCGGACAAATAACAACAATTGGCTCAACTGATAATGTCACTGTAATACAGAACCGGTTAATGATCTTCCAATACACAATAACTAAAATGTCAACTTTTCACTCCAGAGCATCTCTTATTTATGGAGGGTTTATAACAACATGCTTTCTATAACCATTTTTAGTAGAGCCCGAAGAAAGAAAAAATAGGAGAAATCAGATATAAATTATATTTCAGTACACGACATACGAGGGAACTGACCATGAATACATCCAACCTTATTGACGAAATTATCATTTTGGAATTTCGCATAGAATTAGAGATTTCATATTTCAAACATTCATAACTGTCTCATTCATTGGTGCAATTTATACCAAACTCTTACCCTTCAAGCTCTGATGTGTGTTTGAATTTAAGATTTTAGTTGGCCATTATCAAAATCATCTTCATCCCTCTTTTGATCCCTCTAACATGCGACATTTTGTGCAAATCGTTCAAATCATATATAGGGGGGGGGGGGACATCTTTTTGACATCGCCATCCCCTCTCCATTTTCCTCTCTCTCTTTTTCTTTTCTTTTTTCTTTCAAATTTGTATTTGTTCCTTTTTCACCATATAGTTGGGGGTATGAGCGAACTGGACGTGTCCCCATGCACCTACAAAATTGAGTATGCTGAGTGTATAATCGTTTCCAACGTTTGTGCACTTGTCATAATTATATGGCTGCATTGCTAGTAACACTTGGAAAGGTTTAAACAGATATTAGCTGTGTTTAATAAAGTATATACTATATCAAAGAGAATTTAAGGTCGTGTTATGGTAAAAGTAGTTTTGGAGCTTTGCTTATCTTCTTAAGATCATTTTGGAGGAAAGCCACAATAGAAATTCCCTCTAAAAAGAATAACTCTTCAAATGCTCTCATGTTCAAAATATTTTAAGAAATAACTGAAATGTTAATAAACCAGTCATGACATGTAGTCCCAAAGACACATTTCTGTGTACAGTGCATGAGACATTCGGCAAGACTGCGTCAGTTTCTTCTCTTCTTCATTATTGCAAAACCTCACATTATACACTAATTCCTTTTCACAATTTACCTTTCCAATCGTTTCCAAAACATTGTCTTGCTCAATGCAAACCCTTGACCAGAACTAAATTTCAAATTTAATTTTGTTAATTTTTAAGATGACGTAGTAAAGGGAACCTTTTAAAGTCCGCTTAAATGCATCATCTAAAACATGTTTGTGATCGTTTACCTTCTCAGATTTGTTTTTCTGGCACGTGTTTCAATAATCCAAATTGGGGGTGGACACGCCATGAGCTTAATGGGTACGGTTCATTGCTTATCCCATTTATCTGACCGACCAACAATGGATTAGAGAGGTGTGTCTTGCTCCCTTCTTTATCCACATCGCCCCTGTGATACTGCTTTCACATTTTTGGTCCTAAGTTCCGCGTTAATCAGTGTTTTTTTTATTTTTTTTATAATGAATAGATAGAATTTCCCTGAAGATAAAAACATATTGCATGAATGAGTATATTTATAAAGCAGAATATATGCAATTCTATGTGAGCCTGACATGTCTGCATGAATATATGAGGGAGAGAGAAGTAGGGGATACATGAAACTAAATACACCTTTTGTTTAAAATGAGATCATATTATATTCCATTTGATAGCATTACATATGTTCTGCTTTGTTTTCCTTTTAAATTTTAAAGTGTATTATTTTTATCTGTAAGAATAGGTCCTATATGAAATATGAGATACGCATGTGTATTATTTTTCAATGATGATTTTTTCTTTTCTTCATAGATTAATGAATATGTGTAGGCCTATACTGTTCAATTAAAAAGAGAAAGGACAAACGCATTGTAAGCATTATGTACAGTGGGTGGGTATACTACACCAAGCAAGGCTTGGGCGAGGTCCGTATGACATTATAATCCTTATCCTCCAAACAAATGAAGAAAGAAAAAAATCACTTGTGTCCTTACTGACCTTTGCGAGTACATTGTTATAAATTATATGAAACTAGTGTATTTCAGAGACTCTACATCATCGCACTATGAATACGTGGAAACCTGAGGATTGCAGGAAACTGGGGGCGCTTTTCTACAAACCTAATTCAACAAAGAATATTGTTTCTTGTTGTTGATCTTCTCAATTAAGAATTCAGTACAGGTACGGATAACTTTCTATGGGGGTATGGGGCATATAAACCTGTAGAATCCTGGAGTCATTTGAAATACGCCTAATGACCGTAACATTCGTATTACTTCTTGCTATTGTATTTCACATTAAACATTAAATGGGCCCTTTGAATCCGGCTTTGAATATACCTCGAAATTAATGCTTGTACGACATGATCGCAACTCGTTTGAAAAACAAAAAACGATGCTCAAGATTGTAGCTTTGAGATGATGTAGAGTGGCAATTATTTCTATTAGGCATTGTATTGCATTGTATGTTAGGCATTGTATGAAATGGAAGGGGCTTCTCAAGAAGTTTGTAAGGGAATTTTTTCCTGGATTAAGGGGGCGTTTCAAGATTTAAACCAGAGCATAAGTAAAATATGCATTATTTGGTGTAAAGAAACTATCGTGGAACTTATGGCTATGTCTACTCTCCCGAGGTTCTACCGTCCTTAAAAAAGTATTATAACTTGTGATGCAATCACATTTTCCCCATGTTGTATTTAATAATCTCACAGTTAGGATTGTGAGGGAGGTCATTTTCGACCACTTACTTTTAACCTTCCACTAATTAAGTCACGTCTGCAAAACACAGGTAGTGGAAGTAAGCTGTCTGCAGCATACACTCGTATTAATAATCGTTTGGGGATTCCCCTAACATGTGAGGTGTTCTACCGGACATTCCTAATGTTCCTAATGGTTGGTTCATTGGTCAGACATCCCCCGACCCCGGCAACCTGTACCCGTATCGTCAGGGGAGTGGTCCCAAAAGGGGTGTCAATATCAATCTTCGTTTGTATAACAGGGGTGTCGCATTACCTCTTGTTGTCAGGTAAAACTCCTGAATAGTATCATCGCTAATCACTCTTGACATGATCCTCATCCTTTCATTGAAGATCATGGGGGATAATTAATCGTGACAGATAATTTCTCGGATCTATTTTCTACGTTAATTGGCCGACTGGGGGCCGAGTGACCTGAGAAGCGGATTTGACGAATACGGTGGTTGACCTATTTCATTTCCCAAGACTGTATGGTCTAATTCTCGTGTAATACACACCACTAAGTCTGGTTTCATTGTGGTTTAATTATGGATCGAAAAGGTGACCAAATCTTGTCAATGGAACTTTTATCTGGTTTCCGATTTAAGCATTGGTGACAAAATTTTGTTTTGAGGGACTGCTCACGCGACAGTCTGTGGCTATTATGACAGGTAATATCAGTGAAAAGGAAATTTTAAAATGCGCTGTGACATTGGTACACTTGATCGTTAAATCGTCAGAATTGATTTCCATTTAATTATTTAAATAGGACAAAGTTGTGAAAGACTCTAGCTACTGACAGGGACACATTTAGGATTGTATCTGGACTGCTACCCCTTTCCCGGACTACCATTTCCAGACAACCTTCCCACAGAACTACGTGCCGGAAAAGTACCGTCATTCCCTATAACCAGTCCCTATAACAACTGCACCTCTCATATAATGACACCCTCGTCCCCATCCTGTGACAACTTAACATCGCGAGATTTACCCTCGGATCGTCATACCATGCCATCATACCAGGGAAATGTTATTGGGTGTAATTATCCTACAGGGTAGACGTCCGAAAAATATATGTCCGGTTTGTTGGTAGTTGTCCAGGACGGGCGTATTCAATTAGAGGTGGAAGTCCCGGGCCTCGTCTTAAAAGAGTTGATATCAATCGCAAATATGTACGTCAGAGATAGGAGACTGCAAACTTGCGATTGATTGGAGGACTTGCGATTGATTTGGATCAATCACAACTATTTGTAAGACTGGGGTGGGGGGCTAGTGTCGTTGATATTGAATCTTTGAGGTTAAGACTTTGGGAGACGAAGCAATTTAACAGATGAACGGCTTCATTCATATTCCGAAGTCCGTCATGTGTCAGGTATTTGTGACGCAAGCTTGATGATGCAGATCATTATGTAAACAATATTCATTGTTCAGTTTACAATTAATCATTTGTACTGTTTACCACATATTACAGCATTTGTTTTACAACCTGAAAGATTTCAATGATTTTGTGTTTTCATTTCATTCTAGATCGTTAATCAGTTCCATGCTATCAATTTATAAGAAAATGTGTAACTATAAGGCCCAAATTCACAAAGGAGGTTTGTAGACGAACCTAGGTTTATGTGCGTCATACGACGCGTTTTGACGCGTTTCTACAAACCAAAACGCGTCATAAGACGCACATATACCTAGGTTTGTCGACATACCACCTTTGTGAATTCGGGCCTAAGGGTTTGAGCAGGGATTGCGTTACTAGTCCCTGATTATTTAATTGACTGGCCTATCTACCTCCTGCATGGTATATTAGAATTTTATTCATTTATGACAAAATTCTATTTTGATGTGGGATTTTTCCATAAACAGTAAACGCTCTTTCCCTATTAAGATGTAAAACATCGGACCTATAATGACCGTTGTTTTAAATCTAAATTGCAGCTTTCAGTTTCGCATATTATGAGGAAGGAGCAGCACATTTGTTAGCACATTTTTCTACCATGCCTACGTTTAGTAGGTTGTCACAGCCGTTCTGTATCGTTAACGATGAAGGAATTATAAATCTGAATTCGAATGTTTAAATCACAATTCTTATTTATTCATCTATTTCACAATTCCTAGATCACAGTGTGAGTCACCAGGCTGTATCCGCCAGCTACACCTGGATGGCGCCACCTTCTAACGTCCGCACGCGCAAGAAACGCAAACCCTACACCAAGTTCCAGACCTTCGAACTGGAGAAGGAGTTCCTCTACAACATGTACCTCACAAGGGACCGCCGCTCCCACATCTCCAGGGCGCTCAGCCTCACCGAGAGACAGGTCAAGATCTGGTTCCAGAACAGGAGAATGAAACTGAAGAAGATGCGGGCGAGGGAGGAGAACGAGAGGAAAAACCATTCGCATCATCCCGCCGGACAACATCACCCACAACACCATCATCATCTCGAGTCGAAGGGCGGTGACCACTGCTCCATCGGAGGCGGTGGCGCCACGGAGCTGATACACAAACCCAGCGCTATTCACCATGCCTATGTTGGGGGCGGTGGCGGAGGCGGGGGCACACACGAATCGAACCCGCTGGCTGAGTTACAGCAACATGGTGTGTTGCAGCATCATGGCGTTTCATCCATCTAATCATCGAACATATTTGACCAAAGATGGACCAAAAGAACATGACAAGTAAACAAAGGAAAACTCGAGCTGAATAGGAACTATGCCGGTGCAAATAAAAAGTGTTTATGGTATCTAATGCACTGAAACTCGCTTCTGTCTCAACAAAACCACAGCTCTTATGAAGGTGGATACTTTATGGAATCTTCTTGACCAAATAAGTTGAATTCCATAAATAGCCTAATAATTCAGCGAAAGTTTCTGTTACACAACAAACATAGTATACTCTCAGTCATGTCTGTTACCACATTCATTAGGACGATAAGTATTAGGGGCTGTGGTAGCATTATAATTATGCAGTTTGTAAGCATGATATAATGATAACAAAATGAATTTTATGTTTGTTTAGATTTGTACAAAAGGACCCTTTTTATCCAGGCGTTGCTAAAGGGTTGGTGGTACCTTCCCTTATAGTTTCACGATTAAATTCTACTATAACTCCAAGAGCTTTGATCTTGAGGAAGGGGTACAAGCTTGAGTTTGGGGTACCTGCACCCCTACGACAATTAAAACATAGGTATAATGCTGAAGTGAAATCGATGATTATTTAATAAGTGTTGGTTTTGTTCCTCGTTTTCATTCAGGTAATGCTGAACCCAAATATATCTTATATGGTTATCTAGGTGATTATATATATTATATATGACGACACGATTCTTTCTTTCGAATGCATTTTAATGATTCGTTTGCTTTCTTCGCTTCTCTATATAGTCGCTCGTTGCCACAGGTGCAATTTTGCACTAAAACAATAGGCAACAATAGTCCAACATAGAGAAGTTGCAAAATGACCCATGTCCGGTCTTGATTAGCTCCATGACAATCATTTTAACAACGGTATATATTAAATATTGCACTGGAAACAGTTAAATAATCTTGAAGCCTTTGGTATATGTATATATCTATCCCATGATAAATGTCATGAATACCACGTGACAAAGGAACATTAATTGTGTTAAATATAAAGAAATAGTTAAATGGACAGCATTCACAAAGCTTTCATGATGAAAATTAATACTATGGATATTGTTTTTGGTAATGTAGAAATGTGAGCAATACACTTGAAATGTTGAAAAATGAATAATTCCTTTTTTTCTGTCACTCTAAGTCTACCTCACAGCAGAAGGTCCATGCTCAAAATAAGGATAAACAACTTGGCGGAATGTTGATGTTCATCCTTTAGTTCTTGTTCTCCTTTTGCATCGGTGAAACGGAATATAAAACTGCTTGACAGTCTGAACGTGCATTGTATACATGATATATAACTGGTAATATTTGCTATAAAATTAGTAGATAGATGTTGGGTAATGCAAGACCAATATGGATGCAGCGTGAAACAAAAAACCCATGTTCCCTCAGGGAATAATGTAGTGACGTGTTCAGAGTGTGGGCATTTTACATGAGAAAATAATGGTAGCAATTGCACATTTACTATAATCTAATTTTAATTCAATCGTGTTTTTTTTAATTCAAGGAATAACTTTAACAAAACTTGTTGCTAATTGTTGGGATTGTTTCTAGATGCTTCTTTATTGATGCAAATTAATATTTAGTCACTGTTTTGGTAGACTACAAAGATTTCGTCATATTTCTTCATTTTGATCTGACAGACAGTATGCAAGTTATCATTATGTTTGTATATTACAAAAGCTAAATATTGGTATTCACGATATACAGCTAACATGAATAATTGTCAAGATAATTATTACATTGTGCTAATAGCGGGATTTCCCACTTGACTTTCAAATTGTCCGAAGGTTCACGGACCGACACAAATCTCATAACAAAATAAACCACGAGACAAAAGGTTTACGAGACTTTTGAAACGTTAATGAGACTAAATGACAAAGAGACCGACAAAATCGGTCTCATGAAAACATCAATAGGTATCGAAGGTATAGGAGATCTTAAGTCAATCGGCCTACGCATGCATCCACAATAGACCTAGCATCCATGTATTTAAAATGTATGCATAGGCCTACTTTTTAAACAAAGGTTGGTCTTGACAACCTGAATGCTTGCTCAATTAGGCGTATCCGACATAGCAACAAGTTATGTATGCAGACTGGATTCCGAGTATTATAATTCATTAATTAATAACAGGTTAATGGAATAACTCGTCACTAGGTCCCCAGGGAAGAAACATCCATATAATTAATTGACTATGTTAGTAATCCGTTCTATGCAGTTGTCATGGTTCATCACTCCAGTCAATGCTATAGGCTACCAGAATGGCGCTCAGAGCATTCAAGGAATTTCTCTTCTTAAAGGCCCGGTCACACAGCCCTCCACGGGCGTATCGCGGCCGAATCACGGCCAAAAATTTCTGCCCGTGAAGCAGACGCTGTTGGACGCTTTGAGGTCGCGATGAAGACGCGATACAGCCGTACTTTACCCGTCGTTACACGGGGTAAGAAATTCACACGCGGTTGGCCGCGCGAAAAAGTTTTGGGCTGCCCAAAAATTTAGACCGCGGGTAATCGCGGGCGGTACACGTGGTACACGTGGTACACACGCGGTAAAGACGCGGTACAGACGCGGAACGAACGTGCTAGGACGTGCTACGGCCGCGGTTAAGACGTGGTTACACGCGGAATTGGACGCGAAATTTTAGCGGGTAATCGCGGGTGGAGCACGGTCATAGCACGTTTGTTCCGCGTCTGTACCGCGTTGTTATCACGTGCATTAGCGTGTGTACCGCGTGTAAGCGTGGTAGGCCGCGGTACCGCCGCGCTTCACCCGCGATAAGGACGCGGAACAGTCGTCGGCGTCTGTTCCGCGGGCATACCACGGGTAAACCGCGGGTAAGCCAATTTTGCACATTTTCCACCACGGGCAACCGCGGGCAAAAAAAAATCGCGAAATTTTACCCGCGATACAGACGCGAAAGGCTGTGTGACCGGGCCTTAAGTACGCGTGTTACATCTGAGTCAGGAATAAGCACGGGTAAGGATTCGTACTCTCAACCTCTTCGTTGAAAGTTAAGTGGGCGAATCAAGGCAGTGAGTTAATAATGGTAATGTACGTCAAAATGATACATTCTATATTAAATTCAAAACTTATTTTATAATAGAAAACTATGATAATTGATTTTAAGTTTAAAGTAAAGAAAATATAAAATATTTTAATTCATAATTACGTCAGAGCAAGAGAAAACGCATAAATTAGAACTCGTCTTTTGCTTTCTAGAATGGTTCAAAGGAGAAAAATTGATCGGTTTATAAATTATATCTAATTATAGGTGGTATTCTACATTTCTACACCGATCCACTGTCATTCCTAACCCATTTGTTTAGTATGACGTATCCAGACTTAAATTCGCGCTCTGTCTTCTATTCTCTCTCTCTCTCTCTCTCTCTCTCATATCTCTCTCTCCCCCTCTCTCTCTGACCGTAGTACCTGAAATTAGTTAAATTCATGTTCTAAGTAATTAATAGATTTCCACCGTCCATAACGATTTAGAAGCCTGTCTTTTTGTTAGAGATGCTTTGATGGAGAGATGGTAAAAATCCCTCCACATGGACACATCCTTGCGAATTGATTTAGCATACTGCTATTTTACCCGCTACTGGGATTTTAAGATATTGTTGAATCACTTGTCTGTTCATTCTTGCCGAAATAATATTTTAATCCAAGCGATTAAATTTCATTATTTAGTAGAAGTTGCATAATATTTTTTTATAAAAATTCAATGTGCGTTAACGTTTGTGTGTGTGTCTTCTGTTCCCCCCTAAACAAAATAAAACATTCTTTAAAACGGCATTATGATAATTTTGTGTTACTTATGATAGCAATTGTGGATTTGTGGTGAAGTATATTATGTTTTATATCTTTTATGGTATTCTTGATATTCTTTTTTTCGAAATAAGCTCAAGGTTTAATAGTTGAAACGAGTTTCATGAATGGTCTCTCTAATAATGCACAATAAGTATATGTACCTTGGAAGAAAAAAAAATACTCTACGACATTGTGATAATTGTACAAATGTAACGTTTCTGCATCCAACGTTGCCACTTTAAAAAATAAAAATGGTTGTGAATACGGGTTACTTATTATTTTTGTTATTATGTGTCATTATAGTTACTTATAAAGTGGCTTTTTTCCAGAAGAAATACCCATTTTATCTATTAATTCATTTTTCATATAATGTAACAAATGCGATCCTGTGAATTTAAATATGTTAATGGTAGTGGCAAGAAAGTTATGTTGACTGTTCATCATTCTTCTTAAAATTATTAAAAATGACGACCAAAGTTGAACCACTGGATCTTACTTCGTATTGTCAGTCTAAAACAGACAAGCCAAAAGAAACTGATAGATCATGTACACATTATACCTTGTATGATAGCCGTACCAAAGACGTGTTCAGTTTGTATATTATTAGGTCTGTCTTGAATCCATTTTGTAACGAAGTTCATATTGTAAAGAGCCATGTAGTGTGTGAACACGTATCTTTTTTTTCCGTCGGGCACTGTATTGATGTATAAAGTTGAATGTGAACTATCTATTAAAGTTGTGATCACCATTACACAGTTCCGTGTGATTTTTAATTATTTTGAGGTCTTTCTTTACTTATCAATAGAAATTTCAAGTCACTAGCATTAGATATTTCAAACAAATATTATTGTCAATGAGCATCATTGTCAAAATAGATAACCACATATATCACCCAAATCAATTCAAATTTTAAAAATGGAATAAAAATGCCTTATTGAGAAAAGAAAATCATACCTCAGTATCTTACAGGCATCTAGTATTTTATTCAACGCTATTTTATTTATGACATTACAAAGAAGTAGGCCAACATGTGTTTGGTTTGATCTAAGAGGATATGTTACAAATTTGATTATCGTCAAATGGTTAATGATGGTGATAATATCGATAATAATGATGATGATGATGGTGGTGATGGTGGTGGTGGTGATGATGATGATGGTGGTGATGCATGGTGGTGGTGGTGATGATAATAGTAATGATAGTGGTGGTGATGATGACGACGATGAATATGATGGATAATAAAAATGATAATGATGGTGAAGGTGATTATGGTATGGTTATAAAGAAAAAGTAGAAGAAGAAGATGATGATGGTGATGTTGATGATGATATGATGATGATAATAGTGATGGTGATGTCCCCAGCGATGTTTCCCAGATGCAGGAAATGATGAAGAAAAAAAATAAGAATGTGGATCATATTGTTAATGGTGCTGATATATGCAATGGAGATCATAATTTTATCGCTGATAGTAACATTATGATGTTGTGATGATGATGGTGATTATGATGATGATGATGGTGGTGGTGGGAATGGTAAAGGTGATTCTGATGATTATAGGATCATATTGATGACGTTGTTGCTGCACTTGGTAATTGTGGTAGAGGAGCCAATCCTCAGACAGAATACGCATTAGGAACCAATCAATATTACATCATTCAATCAGAAAGCTGAGAATGAGAATGAAGCTCAATAATTATTAGAAATGTCAAAAAAACGTTACAAATTGAAATGACCCGAACATATCACGTTCCCTGCAATAGAAATATATTGATTAGTATGTCTTAGATTTTTCTTAATTTGTTACAGCTATTAATCAAACACAGTCATCCGTGCAACACGATAACTAGTGACAAATTCCATTACATTTAGCTTATAATCAATCACACACTAACTACATGCATAGCTCAGAACAGATCGCCAGAAAAGAAAATGCTCTACGCCCCCTCTTGACAGACGCTGTATAAGGAATGGTAAGGGTCAAAGTTCAGGTCATAAAACTGGTCGTTGACTCCTGTGGAAAGATGAATTTTTTACGATCCTGGACGTTAACCAAGAAATACTATGTGACCCCGGAACCAAAACATACCGACTATGTTTATATCGGGAGACTATACACGTATAAACAGATATTGCAACAGTTCCAATATCCGGGCAACAGATTTAAGGACTGAGTCTTCTAAAAATGGATGGTCGATCGAAGTGAAAAAAAAATGACAGTTCCTTGCATCCCGTATCAAATACTTTTCTTTTGATGTTTGACCATATTTTATGGAATAAAAGAAACTGCACGATCGAAGACACTGGTGCAGAAACGTAAATATTTTATGATAAAAATTAAAAGACGTAGTGATTTGATGTTATTAGAAATAAATTATATTGAATATATTATAAGAAAGTATAATATAAGTTGAGTAGGATGCCAAGATAAACAAACGGCTGAACCTGTTTCATGGATATAGAAAGAGTGAAGAGAGATATTGCGCCGGGGGGGGGGGGGGTGGAGGGAGGGAGGGAGGGAGAGATGGAAAAACTAAGAAAAACAATCAAAGACAGAGAGAAAGCAGGGGACAGGGATAGAGACACAGAATAGATAGAAATATAGATAGAGAGGGGGAGGGGTAAAGACAATGGGGTGAAGAGAAAGACTATACGTGTGATGACCGTATGAATGAAAAGGGGCATTCCATAAAGACAAACAATTTGACATTTAGCGGTAAATTGCGAGTGTGCAAGGGCTCCTCAGCAATTAGTCTTGCTGCATAAGGATTGCAATATTTTTCAAACTCCCTCAATGAAAAATGCAGGTCCTTATTCATTAACAGGTAACTAATTAATTACTAATTTAGCATCAATAAAATCACCCTCTCATTAAAACATATACATATGGGATATATGGGGTCAACGTGTTTCAACAAACTGAAGCTGCTGCCTGAAGCAAGGCGATCTTGTACTGCTCCCTCTGCGTCCAAACTGGGGAAAGGGTGATCGCGTTTTCGTAGAAGCATACCAATTGCAGCAAATATTTCCCAACAGAAACAAAACATGATCCTTGAAAGGGCAAAATATGTACATTTCGGTTGAAAATAAATCAAGCGGAATGCTTTTTAAATGTGAATAAATTAATTTGATTGGAAGTTTCAAATCATATATTACAATCGAAAGCAAATAAAGAGCAAAAACATCAATATACGATATGATGCGGCAAATAATATTTTTTTTAACCAAATGGTGAGAATCAGAATTCGAAATAAACATGCACATTATTCTGACAATTCATGTAATAAGAAAATGAAAAAAGTTTTAGATCCAACATTTCTTTGTCTTGTTTTTTTCTCTTATTATTTTTGTTTTGTTTTGTTATCCCCTTTGTCTTTTTTTTTTTTTGACTTTCGGAATACTTATAGGTTCGATTTTGTTGATCCTCTTTTTTGCTATATTCGCAACTTTCTGGCAATGTAAATAACTTCGACAATCCGCTAAACA